ATCTCCCTGGGACCTCACTAGTGTGCAAGTGCGAGCTCTTCAACATTCTAACAGGCACCATGATAGCGCAAAATCGCGAATCTTCAATGCATAATATGTAAAGAAATATACGGTAACCCGAATTACCACACTCGCAAAATCGCATAACAGCCGAGCATACACCCAGCAGCGCTGCTGATGCCTCAACGGTATGTGGAATGAAGTGGGCGGGCATCGGGGAGGCCACTATGGCACGGGGCAAGCACTATGGGCAGTCTATCTGAAGTGTACCTGGCGTATAAGACGACCCCCTACTTGGAGGCATATTTTTCAGGGCCAAAAAATTGTCTTATACGCCGGCAAATACGGTAATGGGCTGCTTTTGTGTCTTCTGTGAGGTCTGAGGATATAAGGTTGCAAGTCATAGGTTTTTGTTTAAAGCTCCTAAATTGATTTAAAATGGTGCAATTTTTGTAAGAGTTATATGTAACAATAAACTATTTTTTTCATAGCACTCTTTTGTTTATTTTAACTTGAACAAAAAAAGAATTTTACGTGATACAAAATTCAAAAGGTACAAAAGAAAAGATAGGATATAGTGAATATATTCTCTATATTACCATTCCTCAGCCTTCATGGACACCTGTTGCCCAGGCACCCAGCCCAGCATTGGTCTCCCAGAGGCAACAGATAGCACAGGTTTCTTCCAAAGTGTTTCCACGTATTTATGTATACACGTACCTACGTACACACACACATACGTACACCCACATTGAGAGAGAGCAGGAATCCCTCCATTTTCTCTGCATGAATGGTAGGTAACATACTCTCTGCACTGTTCAGTCTTGCTGATTACACTAACGATGGGATCATCTTGGAGATCTCCCTGTACCTAACTATGAGAAGTTCCTTACTTTGCTTCTCTTTAATGGCTGTATAGCGCTTCACTGGATGGTTATAACCTAGTTTATTTAAACTGATGAATATTTAAATGTTTACATCTTTTGCTACTGCGAATAGTTGCTTCAGACATAAGCTTGTACATGGTATCACATCTTTATGGCTATACCTGTAATTTTAACTCCCAGAAGTTGCATTCTCGGTCAGAGAATATGTGCATTTATAATCATCAATTTGCCAGAATGCCCTCCAGTGTTTACTCACCAGCAATGTACAGGAGTGCTTGTTTGCTCATATGCTTGTCAGCATAAAGAGTTTGATGAGTGATAGGTAAACATTGGTTTCTTATGCTTTAAGTGTTAATTTGTTTAAAAGTTACGGTGAACTTCCTTTTATATGCCTAAGAGCTTTGTATTTCATTTTATGTGTCAACAGTCTATTTATAGCATTTGCCCATTTTCCTATTAAGTTGTTCATTTTTTTTTTCTCATTGATTAGTAGAAGCTCTCTTGATATATTTGGGAAATTAGTCCTTTATCACTATTTTTTTCTCTGCTCTTCATTTGTCTTTTGATGTGCTTTGCCATACACTGTTTTTCCTATTTTCATGTAATCAGATTTACCAATCTTTTCTTTTGTGTTTTCTGAATTTTTGTGTCATAATTAGAAAACATTCACTACCAAAGGAATTAAAAGACAATAAAACCTCCATATTTTATTTTTCTAGTATGTATATGATTTCAATATGTATGTTTAAATTTTGGGTTTGTCTTGGCGCGTGCGTGTGTGTGTGTGTGTGTGTGTGTGTTTGTGTGTGTTTTGTGTGTAAATTGTGAGATGCATAGAATTGTTTTCAGATAGTGCCCATTAAATCTTTATTTGTTAATTTTTCAAACAAAATATATTAACTCTATTCTTTTTATCCTATTTTTAGGGAAGTCTTGAGGTTTTTTCTGGACTGGGACTAGTGCTAGGGCCTCCTATAGGTGGCTTCTTGTATCAATCCTTTGGCTATGAGGTGCCTTTTATTTGTCTGGGATGCATAATTTTGCTCATGGTACCACTCATCATGTGTATTCTACCTAATTATGGTAAGACCACATTTATTACTCATTTTAAGAATCGTAAATTTAAGTATTTGTATGCCTTTGTTGGAGACCAATTTGACATATACTCACTTTTATTTTACATAATCAATAATAGGTTTGAAGAGTACCATGAAAGAACTGATTCTCTTTTTAGAAATGTTGCTGTAGGCAGTTAGTTTATATGAATTTCTATGTATCATAAATTCTTTCCGACCTTCAGAACTAGAAAATATTTAACTTCCGATCATAAAACATCGCCATATGTGGTGCTAACTGGACGTCATCTTGGACTTAATTAAAAATTCAAAATGACAAGTTACCACGCACCACACGTAGCACCAGATCTTCTTGCAAGGCTATATAAGACAGGAGGGCAAGGTCACACCTTCCTTCCCGGTAGTCCTTGCAGCTGTCTAACACACCCGAGGTGCAAGGACACAGGGCCACATCAGGCAGTAATGAAAGTCACCCTGGCTTCAAAGCTTCAAAGCTTCACGCCCCGTAGGCGTTAACATATCCTGTAACAACTCCATGGGCATAGCTGCCAGAGTCTCCACGAAGGACATACTGGGTACAAGTCAGCACACTCAGGGAAGCTCAGATACCTACCTCATCAGGTATTTATGGTTTATTTACAGTTTCTTCTGTACAGATGGAAATTACCAGGCCAGGGTCATTTTTATTATGAGCAAGATGGCCTAGTAACATATTTAGCAATTTACCCTTATTACTACGGGGACAGAGCTAGAAAGTTGGCTGGAGAGGAGAGAGCTAGAGACGGTTGCTAGAGAGGCACCATCACCCTGAAACATGGCGGTGCCTGTCCTCTTTCTAATACCAGTAGCACCTTAACAAGGATGGTCTCTACAGTCCTGCATTCTTGGCTGTGCTCAGACTTGGGTCACAGATGAACCCTTGGCTGATAACTAAGAAACTGACACCATGTCACATTCTCATGCAGCAGGGGAAAGAGTTTTGTGAACGCTTTACCACAACATATAAGGAAAAAAGACTTTGCTTACTAATTAATGGTAGGACATGGTATTTAGAACACCTGTGATTAGGTATTGACCTGGCCCCAACACCTGTTACTCCTTGAGTCCCGGCCTGCTCTCCTCTTTTCCTTCCGTATCCCCACAGATTGGTATATTTTGCAGCCCCCTGTAATTGCCACCAGCCTAGTTGCTTGGTACTTATTTCTCTTCATTTCTGTTATTCCTCAGTTAAAATTTCCCTGCGTCTTCACTGAACTTAACAAAGTCCCAGCTAACTATATTTTTATGAACAAAATTGTTTCATAAACTTGCAGTCTATGTACAAAAGGATCTTAGATTACATGGAAAAAAACTGATATAAAAAAATCTCCAAGGGCCGGCCGAGTGGCGCGATGGTTAAGAGCTGGCTTGGGATGCCAGAGGTCCCCGGATCGGATCCCACATATGAGGGCCAGTGACACTGCCCTCTGCAGCCAAGATGGTGAACGGCAGCTCGACCTGGGGCTGGGCTGCCGTGAGTGTCCGGTGACAAAATAAGCTGCAGTCCCCTGCTGCAGTGGGCTGCCATAAGCTACCGTGTGTGGCCGGCAGCCGCTGTGAGCGGCCATCCAGAGGCCAGCGACTGATCTGCCTCGCCCGGGAAGAGCGCAATGATGGTGCCAGCTTGGGCCAGTGAAGCAACATGCTCCACAACTAGACTGAAGAAGAAAACGACAGCAACTTGTCTGTTCCCCTTTCCCAGATTCCCCAGTGCTGTTCCCACCCCCCAATTCCCCAATAAAAATCTTAAAAAAAAAAATCTCCAAGATTGATAATGTTAAGGCTATAAATACTGATTTAAGTGTTGCCATTAAGGAGTGCTTTTAAAAATTAATTTTTTTAGGAGAGCTTATAGAAAGAAGCTTGAAAAATTAAATCTTATTTTGATGATAATGACAGAATTTTGTGTTCTACTCCACTTGTTTACCTCCTTCTAGACCAGCGGTTCTCAACCCGTGGGTCGTGACCCCTTTGGGGGTCGAACGACCCTTTCACAGGGGTCACCTAAGACCATCGGTAAACAAAAAGATATTTACATTACGATTCATAACAGTAGCAAAATTAGTTATACAGTAGCAATGAACATAATTTTATGGTTGGGGGTCACCACAACATGAGGAACTGTATTAAGGGGTCGCGGCATTAGGAAGGTTGAGAACCGCTGCTCTAGACCCATGGACAGTGAGGCTTTAGCTTTGGGTCACTGAGTCAGCTTTGGTTCCTCCCCCTGGCTTATCCTTTATATCTGCTCTCCAAGTCCCCTCTTCTGTACTGCTCTAAAGAAATGTTTCTAAAACACAGTCATGGACATGCTAATCCTCTTATTAAAAATCCCTAAATTTATAAAATGTGAGCTTTACTCTGAAAGCCATTAAGAGCTGTTGTTAGATTTTAGCAGAGGAGTCACATGAGCTGGAATATTTCCCCCTTCAACTACCTAACTCGTATATATCCTTCAAAACCTAATTCGTATTTCCTCTTTTGGGAAGTTTTGCTGAACATTCTCGATCATTGGGCTAAATGCTGAGTAAGTGGTGCTGCAGTGCTCAGTATGTTTCCTGCCCCCTCACACCCAAGGGACACCCTACATCCTTCCCCACTTCCCCATCTCTACCAGTAGCTTCCTTTGACAGGCATTACCAACCAGGGAGCCACGTCCCTCTAGGAACAGTGTATCAGATTGGGGGGAGCCGAGAGAGTACTTGAGTAGCTTGGAAAAGCCCCCCAGGTGATTCTGCCATGTGTCTCTTGGAGCAGATATCACCCTAAGTTTTTATGACTTGAGCTTCTTCAACAGCTTAATTAAACTTGGTATGTGTTTGTTTTCATGGACATTATTATATATTATTTTGATAACCCCTTTTCCCACTTTGGATTTAGAGAAGGGGAACATTTATGCCATAATAGCTTGTCTTACACCATAAATCCATAATACCTTTTATATGCACAATAAATATAAGTGATTAAAGTTGATTTTTTTATAATTTATATCTTAAAGGTGACTAAAAAAACATCTTTAACATACAGTTCAAAGTCCACACCAGTCTCCCTGGTGGCATTACCCCACCGAGCCACACAGTGGTGCTTGTTCTCTTTCTAAGTCTGATTACGCGCTGCTGTTAATGTAGTTGATGGTACTGGGCTGTACTCTGATTTGGTTCACCGTTGAATATTTGTCTGATAACTAAGAAACGAACACCAAGGTTTAACTTTATCCCTTGTATCCTAAAAAAGCCTAAATATAGCACTTAACACAGTGGAACCACGCTTTGTGCTTTTTTGTACTTTGCTCCGTATTGGATCATTATTCAACTGGAATTGATTGGTAATGGACCATGGTGGGTACTAGTGAAGAAATGGGGATATAGGAGTGCCGATCCTGACTTTCAAAGAGCTTCCTTGTCGAAAATCGGCCGATATCACCTCTGGCCTGGATCACTATAGCCGGCTCTTGTCTCCATTCTCCATGAGACCACAGAGAGGCCCCTTTAAACCACAGATCTGAATCTCCTTCCTTGTTTGAAATCCTTAGTGATTGCTCAGGTTTCTTAGCATGTTTTAGAAAACGCTGCATAATCTTATCAGTATGTCCTTCTGCAGTATGATCTCTCCCCGGTACGTAGGTGCCCCCACCCCAAGCTCTGTCCTCCAGCTTTGCCTGTGTTCTTTCATTCCCTCAAACAACAGTTTTTCCTCACTTCTTGGAATGCGCCATTCCTGGAATATGGAATAATATGCATCCGTCCCCCCGTCCCTGTCCCCCCCCACTCGGTCTCCGGTTCCATTCTAGTTCTCTCCACATCTTATGGTAACTTCTCTATGAGGACAGGGTCTAGGGTTTGACCTTGACCTCACCCACATTTTGCATGGTACCTGGCTCAGCAAAGATTGTTTTCACTAAATTAATTGGAAAATAGGAAAGCCACTGGAAAATAGTAAACAATGTAAAATGAAATATAGTTTAGGAGCTAAAATATGTGGTATAGACTTAAAGTATAGCAGGAAACCAGGGAAAGGTAAAATGTATGGAATAATTATGGTTAGAGCCAGACCTTACAGAGTGTATAGAATTTGAAAAATTAGTAGGGGAAAAAGAAAGGAGTCGTAGACTGACTGGAGGCTTGGAAACAACCATGGCTGATGCTGGGAACAGTGAAGACGTTGGGGGAATGGGGGGAAGGGAGTTTGGTGCTCAACTGACCTTGAATGCTAAATGTAATTTACATGATTCAGTAGCACCCCCTTCAATCCAGTATTTTTGCCAGTAGAAAAACAAACAAAAAATTGCCTTGTGTTCTTTGATTAACCGAGGTTCCTTCTCAGCACACACACATTGTTCCTTGATAAAGCTTCAGGCTTTTTCCATGTACCAAATTAAACTAGATGTTCTCTATTTCACCTGGGAAAGGTCTCACTTGCCTCTGGGTTATAACCTATAACCTAAGACGCCTTCTTCCTCTCACACTCAGATTCTAATTCATTCTTTCAATTTGAGACATTATTTATTTATTTTTTTTTCCTTTTTTTTTTTTTTTTTAGCTGAGCCATCCTGCCACCTGTTGGCAGCTCAGTGGCAGCTCAGCTTAGGCCAGAACTCGAACTGCTGTTGCTCAGAGCTCAAACTCTTGAGCAAGCTCTTAACCAACTGAGCTACTTGGCCGGCCCTTGAGACATTATTTTTTAAGAAAACTGAATGTGGCCTCTAGGTTTGAATAACTTATATGCAAATATAGGTAATATATAATTTTAGGCAATCTCAGAGGTGCAGTTATTTTGATTACCAGATAAAGATGGCCTTACTAATTTTACTTTCAAAACAGGTTAAATGATAAAGTTAAGTGATTTTAATTATTGTATTTTTTTGTTTGTTTTTTACTTTTACCCCAGAGTCTAATCCAGGTGAGCAATCATTCTGGAAACTCGTCACTCTACCCAAGGTCACCGTCTTAACCTTTGTCATCAACTCAGTCAGTGCATGTTTTGGCTTCCTTGACTGTACCCTGTCTCTCTTTGTTTTGAAGAAGGTAAGTAGCCTGATTGCCGAAGAGCTCTGCATTGTTAAAGGTGGACATAATTACTTGCTGTTGGGCCCTGCTTTGTGGAAAGTTCTCTGAGAGGCTGGGTCAAGGGGATGAGTGGGAACTGCACACTGAGATAGCCTGTACCTTTGCCTGGAATGTCCTCATAATGAGGGGTCTGATGCAGTGGAAATGGGAAAAACCTTTCACTAAGTGGCCCCAACATTCGTTGTCGTCTTCCAACACCAAAGTCAAGTCATCGTAGATCTATCTGGCTTGTGTATCACCCTGGCTGCTTAATAAGGACACCTTTTCCTCTGTTCGTTTTAACTCCATTGGGGAGTTCGGAGTGCTCAGTGGCTCATTTAATGGGAGGTATGTTTCTTCTCTAACAGATCCCCTCTGAACCCGTTTACTTTTTAGGCTATTACATATAGTTGAATGACTACGGACTATATTAATCTGGGATGAGAGAGAGGAACGAATAACTTCTCCATTGTTTTAGAGCTGGAAAATAAATACTGAATTCTAAAAGTTTGACGTCATAGAAAATTTTTCTTAGATATTTTTGAAAAAGATTATTAATAATGCAGTAAACTGTATTATCAAGTCTGGTAGTTAATTACACTGAAGAATTAATATGTGTATATAAAGGCAGAAATCTATCAATTGCAGCCCACTCTGACTTTATGTGAGGCATTAGAATTAAAAAAAGCAGTTACCAGGGCCGGCCGAGTGGCGCGTTGGTTAAGAGCTGGCTTGGGATGCCAGAGGGCCCCGGTTCGGATCCCACATATGAGGGCCAGTGACACTGCCCTCCACAGCTAAGATGCTGAACAACAGCTCAATCTGGAGCTGGGCTGCCATGAGTCGCAGGCGACGGCGTAGGCTGCAGCCCCTACTGCAGTGGGTTGCCATGGGCTACCGTGTGTAGCCAGCAACCAGTGTGAGCGGCCAGCAGCCACAGTGAGCGGCCGTCCAGAAGCCGGCGACTGATCTGCCTCACCCAGGAAGAGCGCAATGATGATGCCAACTTGGGCCAGTGAAGCAACGTCCTCCACAACTAGACTGAAGAACAAAAGGACAGCAACTTGTCTGTCCCCTTCCCCCAATTCCCCAATAAAAATCTTTAAAAAAAAAAAAAAGTAGTTACCAGAAGCACAATTCCTTGAAGTCATTAAAGACAGTTTTGGGTATGTGAACTACCCAAAAAGCTAAACTTGGGGACTGTAATTTTAATTACAGAATAATAGAATGTCATGCTTAAGCAGTGAGCATCTAGGAGGTAACACATAAGAAAAACATGTGTATGGTGACACATTTATATCAACAATGTGCCTCTTTAAAAGTCGTTTATCTGTCCACAGGAAGTTGTGTCTAAACAATGGGAAAAAATTGTAACCAATCTCTAGTAAACCCAAGTTGCTCATGTCTATCTCATAAGAAATTTTTAGAAATGTATTTTCCTATCAATTTTTTTATCCTATTACCCTTCTTCTGACTTCTCATCAGTTGTTTGAATTGATGGTTTGCGATCTAGTCATTGGTCACCCAGCCTTTTAGAATAAGAAAGTTCCGCTCTGCCTTCCTCTGGTTGTATTAATAAAATCAGAAAAAGATATATCTGACTTTGGTATCTTGCTTGTATCTTTAAAGGACTAATTTTTAGCATGAATTAATATTTGTCATAAACTTGTTCAAAGGTATACTAACTCATAAATAAATCCCATGGGCTTAGCTCAAAAAATTAGTTAAGGAAATTAAGGATAATGAGAACAACTCAGATATATCAAAAGCATTTTTATCATCTTGATGATAGTAACAGTATCAGAGTTGTGTATTAGCTTACTGTTCAAAAGCTTTTCAAAATGTGGCGTAGCATCGAATTCTTTGACTAGATATTAATATCCCTTTGAGGTGGATAGAATAGATAATATCAGCAGTGTTTTTTACACTAATATACTGAGTCTGTGGACAGTCAGCATCACCTGGTTGCCCATTAGAAATGCAAATTCTCGGGCCCAGTCCAGACTTTTTGAATCAGAAATTCTAGGGCTAGGTTCCAGGAACCTCTTTTAACAAGTTCTCCAGGTAAAAGTTTAACAAGTTCTCCAGGCACATAAAAGTTTGCAAAGCAAATGTTTACATGTTGCAAAAGTTTACATGTAAAAAGCTGTGATTCATAGAAGCAAAATTATGTCAAACGCTACAAAGCAAAAAATCTAGGACTTCTGACCTCTGGTTAGGTTTTTTTCCCTCATAGAGAAAAAGTAAGATAAAAAATTAGGAAGGACGCTGAGTGTTATTAGTAGACTCATGGTAGATAAGAGTTGAAGAAATAGTAGACAGAAGATAGATACTTATTTTTAAAATGACTTAACCGTGTAACTTTAATACAAAATTTCTTTTGCAGTTTAATTTACCAGCTGGATATGTGGGACTGGTCTTCCTGGGTTTGGCACTGTCGTATGCCATTTCTTCACCACTCTTTGGTCTACTAAGTGATAAAATGCCAGTATGTACACTTAATTAATATTTAAGAACGCTTTTGTATATTTAGACCAGTGGTTTTTCCATCTGTGCCTCTAGAACTCTAGAGATCTGTTGATTAGAACTGACATATTCATTTTTTTTAAATTTCAGCTTCATTGAAGTATAGTTGACAAAGTTGTAAGATATTTAAAGTGCACACCATGGCGATTCGAGATATCTGTATCTATATCTGTCTATATATTGTGAAAGGATTCCATCCATCTACTTAATTAACATATCCATCACCTCACCTATTTATCTTTTTTTTTTTGAGGAGGGTGTGGTAAGAACATTTAAGTTCTAATTTATTCAATTTTTTGAGCTAATGGAGCGGTTCTAGTGTAGGTTCCAGGGACTCCAACCTGCCATCACCTTGAGCATATTCACTGTTAATTGCTTCACCTGGGAAGAGGAATCTTGTGCTAAAACTCTTGAAAAACTACTGGATTTGACTTTCTAAAAGAAAAAGCTCCTTTGATGCAAAAATAAAATAAAATAATAAAATAAAATGGGTTGACTTTAATAGTTAGGTCGGAGTCCCAGAGGTGGTTAGGACTTGATCAAATTGAGAGGAGATAATTTAGTTTTCTGTGGGAGCGAAAGGATTGGCCACATCAGTAGCATTGGTTACCCCATAGCCATCCTGACAGAAAAGCCCTCTGATTCTCCTCTAACCAGGCCTAAGCCATTCAGTCCAGGTAACTAGTATACAGAACTAGTACTGTTAGCTAACTCCCAAGCTTCTATGGCTTTAGTGCTTGTTTGTAGCTTTTCCTCACTTCATTAGATTTACATATAAATTTAACAAGAACTAAATTACAAGGAGATGACTAAGTATCCCAGGTGACAAAAAGCAAGTGTCTTAAACAGTGTTTGGAGCTTGGTTTTAAGACATAGCCTTATATAGCTGAGCTGTCAACCTGTAGTTGTTAGCCTTCATCCATATAGTTTATAAGGGGCAATTTTATTGGGTACTTTTTAAATAATGTGGGTTTTCTAGGCATTTTACCTACTAGGTGGTTCCTTGCAATGACTGCTTTCGAAATTGTTCTATTTGAAAGAGTTCATCATGTGCAAACTCCCCAGTGCATTCCTTTTCCAAGGACCCCTTTTGCACTGCCCCTACCTGGAGTACATTGTCCTTGCTTTTGTGTTCACCATCTGCCTATTTTAAATGTAAAGTTTTGTTTTCTTCAATGTATTTGGATTCTTTAAAGATCATGATTTATGTTCATCAGGGATTTTTACATTCTGTGATTATGGAGGGTTCTAAGAGCTTCTTTGTTCCTTTTCTTTACCAGCGTCTAAGGAAATGGTTTGTGGTTTTGGGAAACTTCATCACAGCAGGCTGCTACATGCTGTTAGGACCTGTCCCAGTCTTGCACATTAAAAGGTAATTGTTTTCCTTCTGTATTTTTGGCTGAATAGCATTAGGAATTTTTTTTTTTTTATTTTAGTGTAACGCTGGTATGGCTTAGTGTTGAGCCTTACTATTGAAATAATTACCTTGATTTAGGACTCTATTGAATTATTTGTTAGACTGACAGTATTTTACCATACTATAAGCTAGCAGTGGTACAAGCAAACAGGAATGCATAAGATCTGTATCGAATGAGAAATATGCTTATTCTTCCTTTGTGTTTCAATTGTGCATTTCTTTGTACTTTATTTTTTTTTAAGAATTAAAAAAAAATTTTATTGGGAACAGTGTGTTTCTCCAGGACCCATCAGCTCCAAGTCAAGTAGTTGTTTCAATCTAGTTGTGGAGGCGGCATCTCATTGGTCCGTGTGGGGATCGAACCGGCAACCTTGGTGTTATGAGCACTGCGTTCTAACCAACTGAGCTTACTGACTTCCCCAGTACTTTATTTTTAAAATAGCATTTGTTGCCACCTGCCTTTAGCTGATAGTTCTTAGAATATATATATATATATATTTATATATATATATATATATAAAATATATATATATATATATTTTTAAAGATTTTTATTGTGGAATTGGGGGGATGGGAACAGTGCTGGGGAGTTGGGGGAAGGGGAACAGACAAGTTGCTGTTGTTTTGTTCTTCAGTCTAGTGGTGCAGGACGTTGCTTCACTGGCCCAAGTTGGCACCATCATTGCGCTCTTCCCGGGTGAGGCAGATCAGTCAACCGGCTTCTGGACGGCTGCTCACGGCAGCTGCTGGCCGCCGGCTACACACGGTAGCCCATGGCAACCCACCTGCTGTCGCGGGTGACTCACAGCAGCCCAGATCCAGGTCGAGCTGCTGTTCAGCATCTTAGCTGTAGAGGGCAGTGCCACTGGCCCTCATATGTGGGATCTGAACCGGGGTCCTCTGGCGTCCCAAGCCAGCTCTTAACCAGCGCGCCACTCGGCCAGCCCTGGAATATATTTTTGTTTTTGCTCTTCGTCTTCCTTATTCCTTAAAGCAGGGGCCATGTTTTTTTTCTGTATCATCCTTAGCATGTGGTAGCTGTTCATTAAAGCTTGCTTAACATAATTTATTTGCTAAATAAAGTAAGCTTCTTAGACATTTTCAGGTACTGCTGGGATAAAGCACGATATGGAAAGAGAAAGGATTTCAGAGTCCTTCAGATTTGGGTTTACATCCTGGCTTTGTCATTTACTAGATTTGTGAACTTGAGCAAATCACATAATTTCCAAGAGCCTCAGTTTTTGTTGTTGTTGTTGTTGTTGCTGTTTTTAAATCTACAAAAGAGAGTTGATAATACGACTGCTGAAATAACTTTCTAGGCCCAAGAAGCGCCCCCTGCCTGGAGTGCCACGTCAGCCAAACAAAACTTAGATAACTTTTGTGTCCCTGTAATGCTGGCAGAGCAAATCCTCTGAAGTGGGGACTCAAGCCCGGGCCCAGAAGGTTCTAGGTTCACACAGGAAAGAATTCAGATATGAGCCTACGTAGAGTTTAAAGTGAAAATAAGTTTATTTAGCCTAGAGTAAGTAAGAAAAGAAAGGCCAGCCCATAGGCAGAGTGGCGATCTCTAATCTCTAGTGAAAGAGAGACCCCTCCTCCCTCCTGGCTGGGGTTTATCTGTGTTTCTTGTTTCAGTGGAAAACTAATTGGTATGGGGAACTTCTGCAAGGTACAAGAAGACTAGGGGCAGGTTGACCTTTGACTTTTGTAAGGTGCAGCCTGCGGCTAGTTTGTAATGGGTTTAATTATGGGAATGGCCATTACAGTGGAATCTCTTTGTTCAGTAGCCTTAGGATGGTTTGTTCTGTGTGACTGATTAATGTCTACCTGAGCTCTGTGTCTTGGAGCAGGTAGGCAGCAGGCTTGGAATCCCACCTCCCAGTTCTTCTGTAAACAAATAGTTCTCATGCCCCTTCCTGTACTACCTGTAAATGCTGCTCTTGACCAGAAATGGTCTATCCAGTCGCCAAACCCAAACACCAAACAGCTCTGGGCCTCTTCACCCCAGACAGAGTTGATAGTGTGGCCCCAGCCAATCAGATATATCTTTTTTTCCTTGTTGTTTACTCTTTATCCTCTGGAAGTTTCCTGCCTTCTGCTCTGTCTTGCAGTTCTCCAAAAGGAGATTGTCCACTTCACAGTGTTAAATAAAGTTTATTTTTATCAGCTAAATTGTCTTCTTTAATCATTTTTAAAAAGTACTTACATCACAGGGATGCTGCAAGGATTCAGGGTAATGGATGTTCAGTAACTGGCATAGTGCCCGGCATGATCCACATATTCGTCTCCTGTCGCTTTACCACTTCCTTTCTATGCCATTTTTGAGTCAGTTGAAAGAACATTAGCATTGGCATTGCCACCAATTTTGGAAGGATTTCGTATGGTGATAAAAGGTAGATTGATTCCAGGCATGTGATATATGTGACCAAAGACATTAAGATATCAGGATGAATTGACTCCACGTCCCAAATATAAGGAACTTAAGGATGCTATCTCAGAATGAAATGGGATCAGATGGGAAATGAGGGTGAGAGGAATCCTGGAATCTGAGAAAGGAACTTCTCTGGGATCCTGCCTGCCCTCCTCAGCATGATGCTTTGTGTCTCTTAAAATGCTAATTTTGTTTTTTTTCTCCAAAACTCTTTTTTAGTCAGCTTTGGCTGTTGGTGCTGATATTAGTCATCAATGGCATCTCTGCTGGCATGACTATAATTCCAACTTTTCCGGAGATTCTCAGTTGTGCATAGTAAGTAAATTGTGCATTGCTTGAAGAGTTGTATTTTGAATAACGGCGAGCATCATAGGCTTTCTTGAATTTCTCAGTTTTGTAGGATGTTGGATATTTTTTTCACAACATTACATCTTCATGATTTCATGTGACATATTATTGTGATATAGTCTATGTAATAATGCGATGATATAAATGATAATATACAGTAATATTAACACAGTAATAGGTAAAATGGGTTGTGGATAGAGGTTTAGCTTGGTTTATGCCTGTGTACAGATATACCTTTAAAAATGCAAAGCAAAATGGAAAAGCCTCAGCATTGTTTCTCTCTCCTGGAGGAAATCCATGCAAGAGCACAGAGTGACCAGGTGAAATGACTCTAGTACTGATTCCAACGTGTGGGGTTTTTCTCATACCACCAAGCCGTTCTCTCACACTGGTTGGATGTCCTACGATTCAACTCAGTTCTGACACTGGCAACCCAGAGACACCATCAGATTTTACAGGTTTGGGGCTCAGTCCCACAAGACTGTCCCCACAAGTCCAAGTTATCACCTGTACTTCTGACCGACTGGCCTCAAATCAGAGGTTCCCACCACCCCTTGCTTGGATTTGGTTAATTTGCTAGAGCAGCTCACTGAATTTAGGAAACCAGTTTACTCACTAGATTATTGTTTATTAGACAAAATAATAAAGGGTGAGAATGAACAGCCAGATGAAGACATGCACAGGGTGAGGTCCTGAACAAAGGAGCGTCTGTCCTCATGTAGCTTGGGACCCTGCACAGTGGCTCATGTAAGCATCCTGGCTCACCAACCAGAACCCCGTCCTTTTGGGTTTTCATGGAGGCTTCGTTACACAGGCATGATTAGTTAAATCACTGGCCATTGGTAATTGACTCAACCTCCAGCCCCTCTCCCCTTCCAGCAAGTGGGCAGTGTCGGGGGACGGTGTGCCTGAAAGTTTCAGTCCTCTAATCACGGCTATCCTGGCCACTGGCCTCCATCCTTAGGTGTGTTACAGGAGAACGAAATGGTTCTTGTAGAGTTGCAGGGAGGCATTCCAGGATGCAGAAGTAAGCCACGGAAACAAAGCCAAACAAGCAGAGGATTTGTTAAATGAAAGAAGGAGAATACACTCCCAAAATGATGGGCGTGGGCAGGCCAGCAGAAAGGGCAACTGCACCGAGAACAAAGAAATTTAGGATTATATTTGAAAGAGGGCACAAAATACTCAGGGATAGCGTTGCAGGTATTCCCAGGGCTGGTCTTTGCTGACCCCTCCTTCCAGTGGGGAGGTGGGATGCCCTTGTTGTTATTTGGCCCTGTTGGAATTGCATGGTGACACGGGATGGAGATGTTTCCACACATGGGGAGGAGCTTTTTCCCTTCCCGCAATGCTAATATTATAGTATTATACTCTGTTACAATTAGCTGTAGCAGCGCCTTTTCTTAAGAATGATCTTCTCTCCTCCTTCCTCTGTTTCCCTGCACTTCCTCTTTCCTTTCCTCCCCTCTTCCTCCCAGCATGCCCTGTTCTTTCTGCCTAAGGTAACAGGTATTTTCCAAAAGTTACCTCATTAATATAAAAAAAGACTTTTATTGCTTTCATCAGTTAGGAAATTCCTAGGGTTTTAGGAGCTCTGTGCCAGAAATGCAAACTAAGACCAAATATATATTGCTTATTATAAATCACAATATCACACCAGGCATTTGTTACTTGGCCATCGGTCTTTTGTTGAATGGGCATGATGATAAAGAACACAAAGTGAATGTCAGGGAGTTCATTTCAAAGTGAACTTCAGGGAGAATATTGGTAATTAGGCTGTGTCAATTCAACAGCTCTCACAGGAATAAGCAGCTGCCCCTGTATTTCCTAAAAGTTGCCCATTGTCCTCTTTACATGTTCGTCTCATTTTAAGAATTTCTTAATTATATATTTTTCTGAGCATTTAGTGCAAATGGGTTGTGATTCTTGATATCATTTCTTATATATGCAACAAAATTATTTTTAGAAAACCATGAAGTAAACATCAGTATGAAAATTCCTGCAAATTAGATTAGCTTTTTACCTTAGAAATGGAGTGTTCTTGCTATTGGCCTGTCCAGATTATCCCTGCCTTATTTTAAATCTATGATACATAATTCTTTTCTTTCACGCAGGTTTCCCTTTTAATCACAGATAACTCTTGTCTCTCTCTGCAGTGAAAATGGATTTGAAGAAGGATTAAGTACATTGGCACTGGTGTCAGGTCTCTTCAGTGCAATGTGGTCAGTTGGGTGAGTAGCCATCACATTCCATTCACACCTGCAAGATGGAAAATACTATCCCTATTTTACAGATGAAGAAGTTGAGACATTGAGACAGATAGGTTGCCTGAAGGCACATAATTCATTTAGAGCAGAATCAGAGTTTTAACCTACACCTCTGACTCTGAGATCATTGGTTACACCAGCAGTTTTATTATCTAATCAAACTGGCCCCATAGACTTTGTCTTATAAAAATGATATTTTTAAGTTTCTTTATCAACATATCTCAGTTTTTAAAATTGATTCCTTTGTTTACTTATTTTTCACTTTCTGCTATACCAGAGGTAGCTAACTATATGCTGGTAATGTAGATACTACCCATAAATATGTACTTAAGTTATTTTTAATATAAATACTGAGAAGAGTAGAGAAAATAATACATTCTTTTGATTGCCTGTCTTTTTTTTTTTTTGCATAAGGCACCAACTTTTCAAAAGCTATAATAATTTTCCAATTTTTTAAAAACTTAAGCATCATCATTATCAGGTCGAATTATTTTCTTATACCCAATGCTATGTCCAGGAATTGCCATTTTTCTTTAGTACTTATAGTTCCAATTTAATGAAGACCTATGACTGAGGGATGACTTAGTACCTTTCTCCTTTTTGTTCTTAGTGCTTTTATGGGGCCAATACTGGGTGGATTTCTGTATGAGAAAATTGGTTTTGAATGGGCAGCAGCTGTACAAGGTCTGTGGGCTCTGACAAGTGTGAGTAATCAGTCTTATATGTTTATTTTTCTTTATGTTTGTGGAGATACGTGACTTGGAGAATTGACATTAACCAGTACCTTTAATTGTGTTAAAGGGATTAACGATGGGCTTGTTTTATCTCCTGGAGTCCTCAAGGAGAAGAAGGTATGGTCAACTCCTGAACTTTTTTCTTCCTTTAAAAGTTGGCCCGTGGGATTGAAAATGAAGTACCATTTTACCTCCATTCTTCCAGTCATCAGGTTTCTGGGCGCTTGGAGCCTCACGACTTGGTAGACACATTTAAAGAGATAATTGGGTAGAGATGTAGGTACTGAGTTTTTTGAAGGTGAGAGATGTTGAGGCTCTTCTTTTCTTCCCTTCCATGTAGAGCGAAAATTCACAATACCCTTGGCACAGAGGAGGAACGAACTGCTCTCTTATCTGATGAAATCTCATCTTGAGCATCTGGGATTGATACAAGATTTGGAGATGGATGCGCCTTGCCTTGAACATTAAAGTGGGAAAGTTTGAAAACTTTTCTTAATTTTATGCACAGAACTTCATGAACCCTACACCAGCATCCTGGAAGTGTCCACATGTTTTTGGATGATCTGTGTTGGGCTGTACTTAACTATGCGCTTCAAATCTGTCTTGCGGAACAAGGCAGATTAGAAGCATTCATTTGAGAGGAGTGGTTGAAAATCAGAAAAAGTATGTGTTTTTAAGTGACCATACTGAGACTTGAAAATATTATTGACTCTAGGTCTCCTGTTTCCTCTGTTTACTTTTTTTTCCTAAATGCACTGATTCTATGAATGTATTTTTATATTAACAGGGAAAGAAATTACATGCATAATGGAAAGAATGGATATGGTTAAAATAATATAAAGATGACTCAGTATATGTAGAACAATAACTGTGAAATCAGTTTTTAGTAGCTATGCATTATCTGTGTCCTGAGATTTCTGTTCTTGTTGAAAGGCAAAATTCCTGCCTACTACATAAAAACTCTAACAAATTTCCTGGCCCTCAGCTCTCCTAAAAATGTTGTTTGTATAGAAGGTACAAAAGTAACATTACTTGAGACTTTAATTTTTGTAATATACTTTCAGTTATGATCTGGATTTATAAACAATGCTTGGTATAACATTGTTCATTTCCTGTAATGTCTCTTGATTCAGTTCTGCCGTCTGTTTTGTGTTTGTTTGTTTGCTTTTGTTTTTTAAGCATGTTCCTAATAGTATCCATTCCCAAAACAGGTGACACCACAGGGTGCTTGTTGTAGGATAGGGAAGGGGTTCCTTGGACTTCACATAAAATCCAGGCTGTTGTTTAAAGTGAGAGAATCTCTATTGTGCAACTTGCATATTTCCTGATCCATTTCCATGGTGTAGTAGACACATTTACCTGTTTTTGTTTTTAAATAGAAGAAATGGTTTTATCTATTTATATGTTCAAGAGTATTTATTGAATACCTTCTCTGAACTGACTCTGTGGTAGGTGCTGAGGATTTTTCTGTGATCAAGATAAACACAATCTCTGCCTTTATCTAACTGATACTCCAGTGGAAGGGACAAACAATAGATAAATACCAGAATCTCTAATTATCTCACAGAGATGCTAGGAAGGAAAACAACATGGTGATGTGATAGAGGAACTGTCTGGGGTCGATTAGATGTGGGGTCTTAATTTAGACAAAGACAAAGCTTCTCCATGGAGATGGAACTTTGAACTGAGACCTGAAACGTGAGAGTGAGGCAGCCATTCTGAGGGGAGAGCCGACAACAGGGCTTGACATGGTCAAAGATGAGACCGTGGCCGACACGTCTGGAGTCTAGTAAGCAGAGGAGGTTGGGGAAGTGGAGGGATGCCGGAATTTGATGGTTATTTCAGGAAGGTCCTGGTGTCTTCATGTGGATGTGAGTGGGGATGCGATTTAGCAGGGTGGGAGGGAGATCTTTGGAAGCTTTGAGAGAGACGATCGTATGGATCAGGGAGGTGGTGGTGGAGCGGGGGGAGAACAGGATGTGTTTGGAAGTGGAACAAACAGGACGCGCTGGTGTGGAGGGAGGAGAAGGGAATGTGGGGTGACTCCTAGGTTTGGGCGTGCGGGTATGGGGTTGGCAGTCCCTTATTGGCAGTGCCTTATTGTGAGATGGAGATTAGAAGCAAAAGCAATCCTGAAGGGGCATATTAAATCGTGATGTGGTGCCCTGTCACACCACAAGAACAGAAGAAAAAAAGTAAAGGATGACAAAACCAAGGTGGGGGCCGATGAAGAGCACAGGAAGTACAACCATTTTGGAAGACTATTTGGCATTAATTGTCCAAATTTAATATTCATAAATCCCATGAACTCTTCATTCTTCTTCTCCCCACAAGTCCTTTTGTCATGAGACCTCCAATGGGTTGTCCAGGACTCTGGGAGCGCAAGTGGCCTCTCACCCCTGCTTCCCAAGAGCGACACCAGGAAGGAGTGTGACCCCGGCCCGCTGCACTCGTGTTAGGTGCAGAATAGGTCTAGGCCTGTGTCGCCCTAACCCGCCTTCAGTGCTTAAATCACCCTGTTCTCACTTCACTGCTTTTCTTCCCTGGCTGCCTGCGGGGTCTTGCTGGGCCGCCCCTCCTGCGCCCAGTGACCCTAAGATATGCTGAGCGCCTGCAGTTCCCACTGCTGCCGCGCGGGGCCGCTATTAAAACATCGCAGGACCGGCCGGCAGCTTCCAGCTGGGCGGTGTCGGTCGGGCCTTCACTTCCCGACCAGCGCCTGAGTGCAGCTCACGACTGCCAGCCTGTTACCGTTACACACGCTGTTGACTGTTGAGAGTTCAAGGTCAACACGGATTCCAAGTTTTCTGGTAAGAGAACTTTTTGTTCCCATTCCCAACACGCTGCTTTCAATACACGCCGCGGCGCATAGTGGTGTATGTAATGACGCTTTGTAGGAAACTAACTTTGCACCTTCCTCATTTTGTGCTTTTGCCAGTACTATTAAAATAAATGAGAAAAAAGTTAAAAATATGAGAAAGGATAGAGGAACTTTGAACAATGAAACCAAAAGGTAGGTCAAAACTATCAAAAGAAACCTGTGTGTGTTTTGATATGTTTTATATTTTTTATATTATTATATTCTAAATATAACCAAGGTGCCCAGCTTGAAAGATATTAAATCTCATCTCCACTCCTTTTGTAAAAGGGGACTGTTTTATGTAGCAGAATGCACAATATAATAATAATAAAGTATTTTTTATGTTAAGATCATATTGCAACCTATATACATGACATATAAATTAATTGAAAGGAAAAATGAAAAAGGCAAAGAAAGAAATAACAATTTTTTAAAATTAAACTTTGAGATAATTGATTCACATGGAGTAGTAAGAATTAGTACACAGAGGTCATATATACTCTTTCCCCTGTTTCTCCTAATGGTACCAATCTTGCAACACTATAGTACAATATCAGCCAGGATATACTATTTATAGAGTCAAGACACAAAACATTCCCATCCTTCACGTTGCCCTTTTATAGCCACATCAAGTTCCCTCTCATCCTCACTCCCTTCTTAACCTCTGGCAACCACGAACCCTTTCTCCATTTCTATAATTTTGTCATTTCAAGAATGTTGTATAAATAGAATCATATAGTATGTTAGCTTTTGGGATTGGCGTTTTGTCATTAAGCATATTGCTCTTAAGGTTCATCTACTTTGTTGCGTGTATCAATAGTTCATTTCATTATATTGCTGAGTAATATCCCATGGTATGGGTACGTACAGCTTGCCATTCACTGAAGGACATCTGGATTATTTCCAGTTTGTGGTTATTACAAGCAAAGCTGTTATGAGCATTAATGTACAGGTTTTGGTGTGAATATGTCTTCACTTCTTTGGGTTAAATGCCTGGGAATAATACAACTGCTGGATTGTATGTTAGTTACATGATTAGTTGCCCTCCCAAACAGCCCATTTATTTTACATAAGAAATTTGATTTGGACAAGAAATATTAAATCACACATTAGTGAAATATTCTATTTACTTGTTTATTAAGTTATGAAGATTTAAATACATTAAATATACCTTCTCAAACCTAGTTGGCCAATAATAAATAAATAATAATAATATTAAATAAAAGCTGGTGGATAATAAACACTGACATAATTTTCAAAAAATACAATTAGTAGGTGAAAAGTAAAGAAGCAGATGTTTCTATTTATATACAATCATATGAAAAAGGAATGATCCGAAGGCTAATCCTACGTAAGTAATATTTTCCTTTGGTATCAGTGTCATTTCTTCTGTTTATGAAATAAACCTACAGGAGAGGAAGACTCAGAAGCAACATATTCAGAGACAAAGAAAATGTTATTTAAAGCATTCAAAGAAACGAACTAAAGCCCACTTATTCAGTCTTTATTAGGAACAATATACAAATCTGAAAAATTTGTAATGATTTCTTTCAGAAACCCCACAGCCTATTCGAATCCCTGCCTATTTGTAGTTGAGGGTTATAGGCAACAATCTAGGAATGCATGAGGTTCAGTATAGCTTTTGATTTACAGTTTAGTGCAATTGTGTCATCAGTAGTACAATAAACAAAGCATGTTTCTTGTTGACAGTTGGTCTAAAAGTGTGACAAATACAATAGTACATTATTATAATTTTAAGTTTTTGTCATTCAAGACAACTGTGAATACCAAATCAGTTAAGTCACTTTACTATATATTTCAAACATAATGCTGTGAAATCAGTCAGATGAATTCTGATAGGTTTTTTTTCCCTTTAAGGGAATTAAAACCGGTGTTGATAAATATGTTATTTGAACATATTATTAATCCTTTTTCTTCGTACGCTTTCAGAATTTGGGGCTTTATACATTTCCTCTATTGTTTTCTGTTCTGTCTCTATTACTGGTTTGCTTTTACCTCTTGTTTATTTAGCTGGTACAGATCAGAGTCGCTTGGTATTGGTGAATCCATTCCTAAGAATTAGGTCCAGTCTGTAGATCTAGAGCACGAATACTGAGAGGACAGGGATGTACATTAGGAAGTGGCCCTGTCATTTCATGGTGAGGAAGCTGCAGCTTTGGATTACATGCATGCCAGTGCATCTTCTGAGAGAGAGAAAAAAATATGTCTTGAGGTAAAGCAGCAATACTAATTTAAAAAAAAAACTGAATGGGAAAGGTAGATATGCCCATAACTTCTTCATTCCTGTAGCTGGTAAATTTGCCTTAACATAGCTCTCAAAAGTTTGGGTAGTTGATTCAGAAGATGGAGAACTCACAAATAGATGCTGTGCTTTAATTGATCTTCCACATAAACGGATTCCATTTGGCAGAGGTATGGCAGGCATATGGTTCAGAATCTGTGAGCTCAAAGCACACGAATGCAAAGCTTCTGCTCTTTCCTGTGTTGGCGAACAGTCACTTTGGTTAATGGCGCAGTCAACAAGAAACTGAAGTAACGTCATAAACAAATTCTTCCTGCACTGCGGCCTCTAAATTCTCCACAGACACTGTCCCGTTGTTCTCTTTCAGAAGAGGGAACGAGAAGATGTAGGAGGCGCTGGGATCCTGCCCCGCTTGCCTGCTTTCCTGCTCTGCCCAGGAGGAAGTGGCAAGGATCAGTTTCTTCAGAAACTGCCCAACTTGTTTTCCAGAGTGGCTGTGCCATTTCACATTCCCCAAAGCAATGGACGAGTAACCCAGTTTCTCAGTAAGGTTGTATGTGTAGGTGTTTTAAAAAAATAGACTGATGCATAAAGTAAGGAGCAAGAGCTATTGATCAGAAGGCAAATCTATGAATCTATGGTACGGTTGGAGAGAAAGCCATCAAGTTTATATATATATATATATATTTTTTTTTTTTTAGCTGAGCCATCCTGCCAGCTGTTGGCAGCTCAGCTCCAGTGCAGCAGCACTGGTCTATGTGGGAATAGAACCAGCGAACCTGTTGCTCAGAGCTCGCACTCTTGAGCGAGCTCTTAACCAGCTGAGCCATTTGGCTGGCCCTGAAAGCCATCAAGTTTAGTTCATAGAAATGGACTTGAATCATTTCAGGATAAACCATTTAGGGCAGGTTGGCATAGAAGAGAGGAAACACGGAAGACTTGTGGAAAGACAGAACAATGAGAAAATAGAGACTGTGGACCAGCTGACATTCGTTTAACAAATTTGTAGCCAATAACAGATGGACATAGCACCATAGACCTGGGTTAAAGCTGCACTGGGCATTGCATCAGTCTAGGGCATCAGTCTGTGGGCATGAGGCAATAATAACAACAGCAAAACTTACTCAACGCATTTCACCATTTTGCAGATGAGGGAAACTAAGACATTGAGAGGACACATAACTTACTCATAGTCACTCCACAAGAAAGTGGTTCAAACCCAGGCTTTCTGGCTTCAGGGCCCATATCCTTAACCATCTCTGATGCCATGACTCTATAGTCAGAAAAAAATCATGCCATGTAAGTTGACAGTCATTAGATGCAAGATCATACAGAATTTAGTTATCTCCACCTAGAGGAAAGTTCCAGAGTGGGTTTGTGTGTCACTGTAGAAGAAGAATGTGTTAAAAGAGAAAGAACGTGATGTGAATATAAGAGTCTATTTAGGCCTCGAGGGCTAGAAAATGGCCACCGTCCATTGCTGTTACTTCTGGCTATTTGGACATTGTTCAGTGAGAATCATATAATTCCACCTTGCCTGTGTTACCAAGCCTCTATGACTTCTTGGAAGAAAACCCCAGAAACCAGACTTGCCAGGCTAGGATAAAACAAATTCTCCTCCTGATGCTTAAGGGGGAAAATCGTCTGGCCAGCTGCTCTTCACACAGAAAGTAAACCAAAACAGGAAGTCAGAGTGACTGGAAAGAAGAAAGCAGATAGAATCCAGGGGCGAGGAGGGATTCACCTAGACAGACCTGTAAGGAGTTACGTATCTTAGACCTCAAACATGTTTTGTGGGTTTTTTTTAAATTTATTTTTTAACATCCTTGCTCACTGAAAATTACGGTGAATTATTGGTGAATAATTGTGATGTTCTTGGGAACAAAAACGGGGCTACCTAGCAGACCTGACAAACTCGAGAACTGAAAGTAACCACATGGGGTGTTCTGATCACAAAAATTCCTAACTGAGCATATTATAATGGGAAGTCACATCCTAAGGCCTATATGATAGATTCATCTTTACCTTGAACAAAGCCTGTCCATTGTTTTTGTGCATCTAGGATGACAGACTTAAAATGTCAGAATGATCCCCTCTCCAGACCCCCAGAGAGATAAACACCAGGTACTGGACCAAGATGACCCCAGCATTCCTCATTATTATCCTTTATCTTCATACCTCTGTAAACTAGGTATGTTAGCGTTAACTATCCTGCACCCAACCAATGTAAAAAACAAGTATGCATCTCTTCATTTGTACTTTTTAGCCAATCCTAGATATTTCCCCCCTTCCTTTCCCCTGCCTCCTTAATCTACCACCAATGGATTTCATGTAACCTTCCTTCCATCTATCTAGCCCTTTGATTTTAATATATAAAATGAACCATAAAACCGCTACCCCTTGGAGCATTTTCTAAATCCTTTGAGATTTTGCTCTTGGGCCTGGCCGTCAGCCTTGACTCAAACTCTGTAAACCTTTCTTTAAGTTTGGACTTTCTTTTGTCAACACCCTCATATCACTCGGCAAAACAATACACGTACCACAGCTTGACACTTTTCTATTTTAATCTATTTTTTATTCTTTTTCCTCTGTAGTACCTGAGATTTCAGCTTTATTTTTGTATACTACCCTTCCAAATGCATGTTTCTACTACTGCCTATGTAAGTAAACAAGTGACTTTGATCCAGCTCCTTTGGAGTTATTTCAGCTGTCCTGAAAGCAAGGCAGTCATCCTTACTTTTCCAAAAGCTTGGAATCCAACTGTCTTTGTCTGTTTGGGCTGCTATCATGGAATACCATTGACTGGGTGGCTTATAAACAACAGAAATTTATTTCTCACAGTTCTGGAGGCTAGGAAGTCCAAGATCAAGGTGCCAGTAGATTCATTGTCTGCTGAGAACCCGCTTCATGGTTCATAGATAGCCATCTCCTCACACTGTCCTCACATGGCAAAAAGGTCAAGAGAGCTCTCTGTTTTTTTTTTTTTTTTTTTATAAAGACAGGAATCCCATTCTCCAGGGTTCCACTCTTATGATCTGCTCACCTCCCAAAGGCCCCACCTCCTAGTACCAACACCTCCTAATACCAGCACACTGGGGATTGGGTTTGAACAAATGTGTTTTTGGAGGAACACAAACATTCAGTCTATAGCAACAATCAAGAGAATTTTCAGAAGTTACTCTGGGTGAATGCAATGAACTTTTGGCAGAGTTGGATGGAAACTAAAGTTAACGATCTGCAAGTGAAATCATCAACAAGAGAGCTCTTCACTGTTTTGCTTTTGAAGAAGTGGGGGCCCTGAGTATGGGAGCCTACTAACAGCTCACAGGGGCTTTTGTAGCTCAGCATCCCACAGCCCTAAACTTCTGGGGGCAAAAAGCAGAAGGGTAGTTTGCAGCGCATGAAATTGCTGTAGGTCAGAAACTGTTGGCTACTGTCAACTGTCAACTTCCTGTGACACAACCCTTTCCATCCAGTAGGTCACACGGAACACTGGGACATGACATACCAATACTCTCAGATTTTCTCTTGGTTTGAGTTGCATTAGCTGTGCACATCCAGAGCTGGAGGAGCACATCACCAGGACGGCACCTGGCACCAAAATATGGCAAAAGTTCAGGCTGGTTCTGCTCAAGCAGACATTTCCTTCCAAAAAAGGCTGATTCAAACAGTTTTGCTAAAGACATAACGAAAGCCTCCCATGAGGGCAAGGACAAAAACATTGTTTTATTCTACTATGTGCTTTTTTGGATACAGTATCATTTTTTTCTTTTTTTTTTTTTTCTGTTATACAGTACCAAAAGAACAGGTTTTTTTTTAAGTTCCGATTTTTCTGTTTTTATTGCTTCATTTTGATGTGTCATCCTTACTGCCTATGAGGAAATGCTATGACTAACTGTCCAGGCTGTTGTCACGTCTCAGCTCATTTATTGCCATTTCATTTCTGAGAGAGAAGCCAGACCAGAAGTCCTTCAGACTGTGGTGGAGCCTGAAGCTGCTCCTCACCATCCCGAGTGTCTTGTTGTCTCTGCTGTGTCTCCATCGCATGGTTGATGTGCGTCTGCCATGTCCTGCTGGACATGATCCCGGAGCTGGTGCCCAGGTACTCTGTCCCCCATTTCATCCCTAGTGGTTCTCTAGCACAGTACCCCAAATAGACTAAATTTGATTAATTGAACAATAGTAGTTCTGTGGTCTTAACAATTAAATCATACTAAACAGTCAGAATCATTACTAAATTGTCACCCATGTTTGTAAAATAGTGTCATACCATCCTATCTTACAAGGAAACTTCATGTATCTTTGATGCTCAGAATAACCTTGTGAAGGAGATAGAACAGGTACGTAGTGTTAGGATTTTTCACATGAGAGTTACTTTAGTTACATTGTCTGTTAGTAAAAGGGTGTGATTATGCGACATATGAATTTTGATTTTTGAAGTTTGACATCAAATCATATCAATAGTACATGTACAATCCCTGTAATACATTTTGATTGTATTCATTGAATTGCAGTATTTTTTTTTCCTTCAGAAATGGTCAGGCATAATATATGTCCCGCCCCATTATAAATGCTACATGAATGTTACTTTCACTTTCAGAAATCGCTTGACCTCGGCCATGATCACTTCCTCCTTTCAAACCTCTGTGGCAGTGTTTGCCCTAGTTACTCTGCATGTCAGTGCCCTGGATACATTTATAGCTGCAGTATATGAACACGCGGTCATATTGCCAAATGAAACAGAAACGCCTGTTTCTCAGGATTATGCCTTACTCCTCATGAACAAGAATCTCGATATTCTAGAGAGAGCGATTGAGCAGGCAGCTGAGCAGGTATTCTTTTATTTCTAATTGTAATTTAAGGGAGGGACATGAGACCTGGTGGAAGATTAGAGTGTTGGAGTGTCTGTGTTACATGTGGAGAAGTAATGTTGATTGGACTTGTTCTGAACAGGATGCTCAAATCATTGTGACTCCCGAAGATGCACTTTATGGATGGAAATTTACAAGGGAAACAATTTTCCCTTATCTGGAGGACATCCCAGACCCTCAGGTGACCTGGATTCCGTGTGAGGACCCCCACAGGTATTTTAACTCTCTTAGTTGTTTGTACAAACGTGTTCTAAGTCTTTAAGAGGTGCATGTTCACCACAGCAAGATGATAAATCCTGAATGATCATATATGTGGTTTATGGTATTATTAAACTTATCTTAACATTTGTTAGATTTAAGAGATTGTACTTAGATACCACTAAATGATCCTTTATGGTTTAATGTCTTTATTATGTTTGGAGAAGATACGTAAACAGGGTATTTATTATTAGGATTAGAAACTAAGGGGAAGAGGATCTCATGGATACAAGTAGTAAATTAATTTCTGAAGTGGACAGTGGGTCGCATTTGGGAACTATTCCAAGGTCCCTGTTGACAAACATCAGTGTCATAGAGTCCCTGTTCCAGAAGCTGCTTCCCAGGCAGGAAGACCTCACTGTGTACCTAAGTGAATCATAAGACCTCTGCTCTGAAACTTGGCATTTTCCTAGGCTCATGAAGACAACTTCCCTGCAGAAAAATGTAATCTAGAAACTTTCTAATATAGAATATTAGCTATAGATATCAAAGTATATTTAATATATAAATCTGACTGCCTAAAAAGCCTTGACTGAATTATTGAGGTACAGATTGCATACTTCAAAACTTACAAGAAAAGGCCTCTCGCTCTGCCATGTTTATTCTTTTTCATCTCTCAAATATCACTCTCTCTTACCCTCTCACACTTTCTCTCACTCTTTTGCCTGAAATTAAGTTTATGAAACATTCCTCTGCCATAGTTTTGCTGAAGGTTTATGGATACCACACATCTTAAGGCACTCTGGGTTATTCTGACATTTCTATAAGAGCTATCAGAAAAAGGCCCATCTTTCCTGTTCTTAGCTGATGCTCTCCATGGCGTTTTTAAGAAATGTTCTTGCGTGCAAAAAAAAAAAAAAAGGCCAAATAGCTGGATAGTCTTTCTGCATAGAAGTTTTGAAAATTGCAACAACCCGTTTATTTTTCATCTCACAGTAGGATTGAGTTCTGGATTTCCATTAAAAACAACATATGTTGCAAATTTATGGATGAGTCAAAGATCACATTAGCTATCTGGAAACTAGTGAAGGTTGGGGGACAGGCTCTTCCATGAGGTAGGAAATGCCTCTTTTATAGCCCTACAGTAGAAGGAACACATCTGACAGAAAATGGGCTTGCATCACCACCCAATATAGCCAAATTTAATTCATTCATCTTTACATTTATTCAGCCATTATTTATCGAACTCCTACTATGTGTCAGATGCTATTCTGGGAGTGGGGGCTACAGCACTTAATAAAACAAAGTCTATGTTCTTCCTGTGGCTTATGAAGCTCTAGTGGGGGAAGATAAATTTAAGCAAATGTTTATTATATAGAATGTTGTATTGTGATAAGAATAGGAGAAATGAGGTGCTTGGGTCGGATGAGATGTAGACCTACTGTTTTATTTTATTTTTTTAATTAGATTGATTGTGGACTTTTCAGTGAGTATGGCTTCAGTGTATTGGCAAGCTAGAGAAGTTATGAGAGGAGAGTGGAAGGCTCCATATTGTGCGGGAGGGGTGCCCTAGATCACATAAGGTCTTGAAGTCTGTTGTAAGAACTTTGGTTTTTCCCTTGAGTGTGATGGGGAGGCACTAGAGGGCTTTGATTCGAGGAGTGACTCAATCCGATTCATGCTTTAAAAGCACCACTCTGGTTTCTGTATTGGAAAAACACTGGGAGATCAAGGGCAAAGCAGAAAGACCACTTAGGAAGCTACTGTCATTATCCCGGTTAGAGATGATGGGGACTGGAACTAGGGTGGAAGAAATGGAAGTGATAAGAAGTGGTCAGATTATAGCTATGTTTTAGATGTCAAGATGTCAGGATTTATTGTCAGATTGTTTGTTGGGAGTATGTGAGAAAGACAAGCATCAAAGGTGACTCCCAAGTTGTTGGCACGAGCAACTAGACACATGGAATTGCCATTTATAGATACGGGGAACACTGAAGGAATCAAATGTGTGGGATGGAAATTAGGAAGTCAGTTCTGTGCATCTTAAGTTTGAGCTGCCCTTAAAACATCCAAGAGGAGATGTCAGCCTGGCAGTTGTATATACATACAAGTCTGGCATGAAAGGACAAGGTCAGGACTGGAGATAAAAAAATCAGGAGTCAGCATATAGAAGGTTTTAACACGATGATGGGTTCGCCTATGGGTGAGTTAAGGGAACAAAGGGATCTAAGGCTTGAGATCTAGGAAATTCCAGTGTTTAGATTCGGGAGAGATGAGGAGGAGCCAGCAGAGGAGAATGAGAAGAGGAGCCACTGAGGAGGAGAATGAGAGGTTGGGGCCCAATAAGCTAGGTGACTGTGACTCCAGGAAGTGGATGTAATTAACCATGTCAACTGCTGCAGGGGAGTAGGATGAGATCTAGTAAGATGTGGGTCATCATTGGCGTTAGTAAGAGTTGTTGGCTAGGATGATGGAAATGAAAGCTGATTTGAGAGCTTCAAGGGCCGGCGGAGTGGCTCAGTTGGTTAAGAGCTTGCTCAAGAGTTTGAGCTCTGAACAACAGCGGTTCGAGTCCCTGCCTGAGCTGAGCAGCCGCTGAGCTGCCAACAGGTGGCAGGATGGCTCAGCTAAAAAAAAAAAAAAAAAAAGAATACATTTGGGCCAGCCGAGTGGCATGATGGTTAAGAGCTGGCTTGGGACACCAGAGGGCCCCGGTTCAGATCCCACATATGAGGGCCAGTGACACTGCCCTCTACAGCTAAGATGCTGAACAACAGCTCAACCTGGAGCTGGGCTGCCATGAGTCGCCGGCGACAGCGTAGGCTGCAGCCCCTGTGGCAGTGGGTTGCCATGGGCTACCATATGTAGCCAGCAGCCAGCGTGAGCGGCCAGCAGCTGCAGTGAGCGGCCGCCCAGAAGCCGTTGACTGATCTACCTCGCCCAGGAAGAGCGCAATTATGGTGCCAAGTTGGGCCAGTGAAGCAACGTCCTCCACAACTAGATTGAGGAACAAAACGACAGCAACTTGTCTGTTCCCCTTCCCCCAATTCCCCAGCACTGTTCCCACCCCCCAATTCCCCAATTAAAAAAAAAGAGTGGAGAAGCTGGGAACAGCAAGATGGACAGCTCTTCCTAGGAGTTTTCCTGTAAGAGAGACTTGAGATATGGAGCAATATTTAGAGGAGGAACTTAGAGGTTTATTTTAATACGTATTGTTGATTAATCCCTTTGATGTGCCTTAGATCTCCAGGACTTATTTATCTACAAGTTGCAAGTTTGTACCTTTAAACAACTATTTCCAATTCCCCCACCCCACAGCCCTGTAACCACCATTCTATTCTGTGTTTCTATGAGTTTGTTTTTTTTAAGATTCCATCTATATATATGTAAGTGATATCATATACTATTTGTCTTTCTCTGTTTGACTTATTGAAATGTCTTCATTAAACTTTGATTTAGATTTGGTCACACACCAATACAAGCAAGACTCAGCTGCTTGGCCAAGAGCAACTCTATCTACATCTTGGCAAATATTGGGGACAAAAAGCCATGTAATTCCCGTGACCCCACATGTCCTGCTAATGGCTAGTATCAATACAATACCAATGTGGTGTATAATAAAGAGGGAAAACTGGTGGCACGGTACCATAAGGTAAGAGGGGATGGGATATACAATGGTGCCTGTTAGGAGAGCACTTAGTGCTGTGTTTAGGAGTTTGAGTTTCATTCCTATATAATACAAGGTTACTAGAGTTTTGTTTTTTTTTTCTTTAAGTGAGCAATAAAGAAAACGACATTTAAGAAAAAAACTAATCTGGAAAAAAAATTGTAGGCAAAGACCTATTAAAAAGGTGTTGTAATAGTCCAGGATTGAGATAATTTTTTTGTATATATAAAACAAGTAATTTTAATATTGATACAAAAGATCCTAAGGTGACTATAATCTAGATACCATTTAATATCGAAATGATACAAAGATGTTGCCAAATGGTACGAATCAGTGTCACAGAAGTTAATTTCCCTGTTTTCTATCAAATCGCCAAAATGACCTTTCTCTTTATTTTCTACGCCAGTTAATTTAATTACCCTCCTATAGATTTAAGGTCAGATCATAACATTTTTACTTTAAACTCTGAATTGAAAGAGCAGAATAACCTTAAGCCATACTTTTATACCAAAGTGGGCAGGGAGAGAGCCGGGCCTTTTAAATGGATGTGTGACATGCATGGCAGTAGGAGTGTCTCTCTCCCTCCCCATAGTTTTTCTAAGCATCTTAAATTGTAGCTTCAGAATCTTTTGAGTGGAGAAATTATCAGCTGGGAGTCCCAGTTAAAATATAAATATTAGTCAAGAGCAGTGATATCAACCCAATGGTTTTCCAATGTTTTTGATCCTATAACTCTATTGGAAAAAAATTAACTTGAGTCCTCAATTAATATATATTTATTTTTGCATTCATAAATAAATCATAACTTTCAAAAAGTTTTCTTTATAACTTTGTAGGCTTTGACAACTTCTTTTCATGTATAATTAAACTTTTATGTTCTCCTTAAATATGTGTCTCTTACTAGGAGTAGAAATGTCAGCTCTTCCATTTTTTCTTTTGTTTTGTTTTCTAGACTTTGCATTATTAGTATACTTTTTAGTGCGCTTTCTTTGCAAGGGTTATTTTAAGCTATTCTTCCATTCTGTAAGTGCTGATTTAGTTAGGCTGATAACATCCTTGGTCAAGCAACACAACCAGGATCGCGTCAACTGCAGGATGGTGCAGTGCACTGTGGATGAGCTAGTGAGAAACCTGTGGTTATTCTGAGTTTCAGAGATCTTGCCCTCCCCTCCGGGACCCCAACACCATTCATGACCCATGAGCTGTAACATATGGACCTATTTTAATAAGAGTAACCTTGTCAACCAATTCTTAAATTGCTAGTAATGCTCAATTTCTTTTTTAGGTTTTAGATGGAAAATAAATGTAGAAATAAATGTTAATAGTCTTGTTCCCAACCCTTGTGATTCTTTACTTTGCAGACCATTTTATCAAACTGTTGACTTTGATTATTATATTATACTTGGTTAGTTTTTCAAGTTGACTTGGAAGAAATCAGGAAGTATTAAGTGAAATATTCATTTTCGATAGCAATTTTGAAAGCTAAGTAAGAGCCTCTGAAATTACTTTAGATGGGACATTGTAAAGAGGGAAGTGGCATCCCTTATCCACTTAACAGTTATTTATTATGCATCTATTATATTTCTACACTTCAGGGATTCAGAGGGGATTAACACACATTATTCTTTGAATCTTGGAAACATAAAAAAGCTTCAGCTTTCAAGAAGCTCATAGTCTTTTGGAATTTACAAGAAGGTATTTGGCTCCTAATTGAAAGGTGCGCTTTGGGGGAATAGGGGCAGAGAAAGAGAGAGGAAGGGATTAAGGGAGGGAGGATATAAATGAATATTTTCCTATGTTTTCCATGGAATTTTACTTCCAATCCTCAAATTCATTCACTTCCTGTAGATTTGCAGGTGTTGACCATAGCCAAATCTATTACTAACCTTGGAGGGTTTTTATAAGTCATCTCTTCAATATGAGCCTTTTCTGGTTTTATCTTATGCATTTGTTATAGTATCACCTCTACCATGAGCCTCAGTTTGATGTCCCTGAAAAGCCGGAGCTGGTGACTTTCAACACCTCCTTTGGAAGGTTTGGCATATTCACATGCTTCGATATACTCTTCCATGATCCTGCTGTGACCCTGGTGAAAGATTTCCATGTGGACACCATACTGTTTCCCACAGCTTGGATGAATGTTTTGCCACTTTTGACCGCTATTGAATTCCACTCCGCTTGGGCAATGGGAATGGGAGTTAATCTTCTTGTGGCCAATATACATCATGTCCGCCTAAATATGACAGGTAATTCATGATCCAATGAGGTTTGCAGATCTTGCTTCTACATGCAGAGAAAATAATGCCTCAGATATGACCTGTCCTAATTTTTTGCTTCTCTGTTTGGACTAATCACTGTTTGTCATCCTTTCACAAAAAAAGAAAGGCTGGTGACTGACTTTAACAGCTATGATGGTGTGAAGACCTTTATGTGTATTATTTCATTTAGCCTCACAACTCTGTGAGGTGAGCATTATCGTCCCACCTTTACAGATTAGAAAAGTAAGGCACAGAGAATGCAAGCAACTTGCCAAAGGCCACCAGCTAGTAAATGGCAAAGCAGGGAGCTGAACAAGATCTGATCGAATGTTGGCAAAGGGCAGAAGAATGTATTATTAACACGTTGCTTTGTAACACATTACCCTAAAAGTGAAAAGTAAAAGTGGGTTAAAACAGTAAATGGGAGATTTATTATCTCCCATTTTCTGTTGGTCAAGAATTTGGATCTGGCTTTGCTGGATGGCTCTGGCTCAGGCCAGCTCTTCGGGTTACATCGAGCTGTTAGCTGGGCCAGCAATCATATGAGGTCATGATGGCCTAGCAGGTCAGCTTCCAGAAGAGCTGCCTCGCATGTCAATTAGCAGGACCCCTTAGTTCTTCAGTGACTGTGGGCAGGAGACCTTCATTTCTTGCCACTTGGACCTCTCCACAGGGCTGTGTGATGTATCCTTCAGGACCTGGAAGCTGACTTCCTCCAGAACAAGTCACGAGAGAGAAAGAGAGGCCAGCAGAGGAGAGGGGAGGGGTGGAGGGGAGGGGAGAACTGCACCGCCTTTTATGACTAGTCACACACTATCATTTCTACCATGTTCTGTTTATTAAAAGTGAGTCACAAAGTCCAGCCTGCCCTCAAAGGGAAGGGAAGTAGATCTACCCTTTGGAGGAAGGCATGTTGGATACTTTTGGAGCAGATTTGAAAAACACAACAATGGGGGAACAGGACAGAATTTTGCATTACCTGTGCTGTCTCATTGTGACACTGGCGACGTGACTGCATGCTCCGTTCTCATGGGGAAACTGGCAGTATTGGTTTTGTTTTCTTTTTTTTTTTTTAAAGATTTTTATTGGGGAATTGGGGGGATGGGAACAGTGCTGGGGAATTGGGGGAAGGGGAACAGACAAGTTGCTGTT